TTTTTTTTTGGTTTTTCTCCGGTACCGGGAACCGAACTCACGACCTTGCGCTTGCCAGGCAGGCGCTTTGCCACTGAGCTAAATCCCCAGCCCCGGAATGCTTTCATTATGATCCATTGATTCCAATATGTTGTATTGGCTTTATCGTTTAATTATAGGAACTGTCTAATTTCTTCTTTAATTTCATCTGTGATCCATTGCTTATTGAGTAGGGTATTGCTTAATTCCATGTATTTGCATAGTTTCTGTAGGGGTTTTTTGCCATTGATTTCTAGTTTCACTGCACTGTGATCTAAGAAGATGCATGAGGTAATTTTGATTCTTTTGCATTTACTTAAGCATGCTTTATGGGTTAGTATGTGTTCTATTTTGGAGAAAGTCCCATGTGCTACTGAGAAGAATGTAGAGTCTGATGTTCGATAGAACACTATATAAGTATCTATTAATTCCATTTGGTCAAAGATTTGATTTAACTCTGCTATTTCTTTGTTGATTTTTTTGTCCGGTTGATCTATCTATTTGTGACATATAGTGTAGTGTCCCTCATTTCAATTGTATTGGTGTTTATCTGATTTTTCATGTATGTTTGTGTTTGTTTTATAAAGTTAGATATGCCAGTATTTGGTGCATATATGTTTAGAATTGTTATTACTTCCCATTGAATTGTTTCCTTAACCAGTATATAGTGACCTTCTTTGTCTCTTCTGAACAGTCTTGGCCTAAATCCATTTTGTGTGAAATTAGGATACCTACTCCTGCTTTTTCCTAGGTCTCTGTTGCCTGGTATATTGTTTTCCACCCTTTGATTTTTTAATCGTGAATTACTTTTTGAATTAAATGTATTTCTTATATAATGCATAGTGCTGGGTTTTGTTTCTTGATCCATGCTGCCAGTTTGTTTCTTTTGATTGGAGAATCAAGACCATTTATATTAAGGGCTATTACTGAGGGGTACTGACTTATTCCTGTCATTGTATTATTTTCCTGCTGCTGATGTCCTTTTTTTTGTTTTTGACTTTGTCCTTTTGCTTAGCTGCTCATCCCACCAGGTATATTCTTTTTTGTTTTTCCTTACTGGTAATGTTGGCTTCATTGCCTCTTTCTAGAATATTCTTGAGAATCTTGCTGGTTTGGTGGTCATACATTTCTTGAGGTGCTCCTTCTAATGGAAATACTTTATTTCTTCATCAATTTTGAAGGAAACTTTTGTAGAATAAATAAATTGAGGTTGGAAGTTATTATCTTTAAAGGCTCAAAGCACTTCACTCTAAGCCTTCAGGCCTTTAAGGTTATGTAGAGAAGTATGCTGTGATTCTAATGGGTTTACCTTTGTGTGTGATTTATTCCCTTTGTCTAATGGCTTTTCAAGTTTTATTCCTGTGGTGTACTTCTGATAGTTTGAGTATAATGTGGTGCAGGGCAGTTCTCTTTTGGTCATGGCTATTTGGGGTTCTATATGCCTCCCTTATTTGTTTATTTCTTTCTCTATCTTTTGGAAGTTTTCTACCATCATTTCTGTGAACAGGTTTTTTTATGCCATTTTTGTTGTTTTCTGACTTGTCGTGTATTCCTGTTACTCTTAGGTTAGTTTTCTTTGTGTCATTTACGGCCTGTTAGATCCATTTGTGTTCTCTTGGTGTTTTTAAGGTATCTTCGTATAGTTGCTCATTGAAAGCATCATTATCTTCTAGTTCTGAAATTCTGTCCTCACAGTGGTCATTTTTGCTGCTCATACTTTTAATATAATTTTTAATCTTCTGAATTGCTGATTCAAACCCTTTCATGGATGCTGATCTTTGTTAAAATGATCATTCCTTTTTTTTTTTCCATTTTGATTAGCTCATTTAGCTTTTTACTAGCATATTCTGAAAGCCCGTGGATCATTTTGGTTATTACTTCCATTATCTGTTTAGTTATATTTTCTGTGATCTCCCTGAGTACCTCTTTCATCTATTTTCTAATCTCTTCTCTTATCCTTTTGAGTAATTTGGATGTGTGGCTTATGCTATTCTGCCCCTTGGTGCTCCTCGGATTGGCTCCAGGGGAGTTGGGAGTTTTGGGAGACATTTTGTTGAATTCTCATGTTTCTGTTATTTTTGTTTAGAATTGATGACTTTGAGAATCCAGTTTTAGGTGATCACAAGGGTGAGACACAAAGATAAACTGTTAAAATTTTAAAAATATGTAGAGAAACTTAATCAACAGATGAAGAAATAAAACAGATACTTCATTATACTTCATTAATTGTAAAGGAAGAAGAAAAGCCAGTAGAGGTAGGTAGAGTGGAAAGGGCATTCCTTTCTGTTAAAGGGCATTGTTTTTGGACCATTCATTTGCTACAGAGGATATATCACAGGATGCTGCTTTAGTGGTGGGTGTGACAAAGCTTGCTGAGTGATCCTTTATTCAGAAAACTCCTTGAAAGGGAAGTGTATGAGTTTTTCATGGAATCGTTATCTAACTAAGGAAAACACACTACCAAAGAGGAAACTCTGAACCCCTGTGATATTTCTTTCCATATAGATTAAATGAGTAACATATGGATGAAAATCCAACTGGGCACACTGAAAAGCTATGTTTAAAAAAATAATTTTGTTACATTCTTTTTTTTTTGTTATTTTTCTGAGACAGGGTCTCACTATGTAACCCAGGCTGTTCTTGAACTTGCAGCAATCCTCCTGCTAGGCCTCCTGAGTGCTGGGATTACAAGAATGTACCACCATGCCCAAGTAATTTTGTTATATTCTAATACTTAAAAGAATCTATGTAATGTTATCCTCAAATCTGTATGTAGTATATATTATACAACATACTCTAATATTCTATAAGAAAAAGTATATCTCAGGATTTAGTGTTCATCCTATATTGGGCATATAATACGCCTTTATTTATACTATAATCTTAGTTTTCTAGTGGTGATTTAACACTAATTCTTTTTTTTCTTCAAAATGCTTTCAATCACATTTTCCTTAAACATAGTCATGGTATATAGACAATGAAATAGAAGAAATCAGTGGACTGAAGATGTGCCACAGTCTAATCCACCTTAGTTTGGCCAACAACAAGATCACAACAATTAATGGCTTAAACACGTTACCAATCAAAATACTTTGTCTGGTGAGAGTTGAACAAGATGTTATTCATTATAGAAGTAGTGGGTAGTGTTTAGTAAGTGTATGATTATGACTACTGAGAATTTTTCTAATGTACGGGGAGCAAGTTTCTGCATTAAATGTTATTGCCTTCGGTTTGCTTGTTCTGTGTGTGTGTGTGTGTGTGTGTGTGTGTGTCTATGTGTGTTTTTATACGTGATCAGTATTCTATGATTAAAGTAAAATGATTTTCTAATATTGTTCCAAATTACATTTTTTAGAAGGTTGTATTTTTATACTGGGAAAGAAAGGTATATTTTTAATAAATATTTCAAATATTTTAACATTTTTGGGGAAAAAACATTAGAGCATATTTGAACATAATATTTATTATTGTTCATACTTAGTTGCTTTTATATGCATTCTTTATTGCTTTTCAAAGTGTTTTCTTGGCTCTGAACTTGGGCCTTCCTTTTATATTAATACATGCTTGTCTCCCATTCTAGAAAATCAGAAATTGCGTTGATACTAAATGAACAATTCCAGGCAGAAAGTTTAAATTAGATTATTTTTTTAAAGAGCTTCATTTTATTTTATTTTTTTATTTTATTTTTGCCTTTTTCAGACAGGGTCTCGCTATGAAGTTCAGGCTGGCCTCGAGCTTACTCTGTAGCTCAGGCTGGCCTCGAACTCACAACAATCCTCCTGCCTCAGCCTCCTGAGTGCTAGGATTACAGGCATGCACCACCACGCACTGCAAGAGCTTTCTTTTAAAGCCATGTGTCTTAGTTACTTTTCTCATTGCTGAGATAAAGTACCTGACACCCAAAATTAAAGAAGAAAAGGTTTATTTAGCTCACAGTTTATAGAGGTTTTAGCCCATAGTTGGCTGGCCTGAGGGTAAGATGACATGGCAAACGGGCATCACAGAGGAGAAACAGTCCATAGCAAAGCAGGGCAGGCAGAAGGCAGCCAGCAGCAAGCCACAAGTGACAAGCCATAGATTCTTTCTGTCCCTTTACATTGTATCTAGGCTCCTGCCCTTTAGGGCAGGTATCACTCACATCCAAGGTGGGGCACCCTTAGTCCTACCCAGAACCATGCCAGATCAGTCAGTGGACTCATTTAGTAACCACACACCCTTAATCTGAACATCACACTCTCTAGATCCAGCCACCTCTGAAAAGTCCCACCTATGGTTGCAAGAGGCTTTTGTGGGAGGTGGGAGGGGGAGCTAGACATAAGCCATAACACTATGTTGTGTGTCATGTGACTGTGATTCAATGAAAATAGAGGTTATTTACAAAAAAATTCAATAGGATTATACCAATCCCAAAGATATACATGATATTTAAAAAACAACAGTATAGACATCACTAATGTGGAGGGCTATAATGTTGTTTGTGGAATATCCAGGATTCTTACTCCTTTCCTGTTCCATCCTACGCTAGATGGTGTTACTAGTTTTATTGCATCAGTCCCAGGGTGGGCAGGGAGGATTTCAAGCTATGAGGCTTGTGGCTTATTCATTTTTTATGTGAACTGAACAGTTGTTTGAAATGACATCTTGGGTTATCTGCAGATTTTTGATATATGTGATATACTGTTCTTGTCTTAGTATATTTAGCCATACATCATTCAAGGTTGGCTATATGATAATTTTCTTTCCCTGCGCTTACAGCATGAAGTGCTTTTTGAAGTCCTTTCCATGCCAACCATGAGTTAGTTGAGGGTAAAATACTAGTATCCTAGTACCGAGGATGGAACTGAGGTTGGAAGGTATCTTGGTTACTTTTCTCTCGTTGCTGAGACAAAATACCTGACACCCAAAATTAAGGAAGGAAAGATTTATTTAGCTCAGTTTGTGGAGGTTTCAGTCCATACTCGGCTGGCTCCAAGGCAGAGTGGCACAGGATAGAGGGCTACAGTTCATGGCAGTGGAAGGTAGCAAAAGCAGCAAGAGCAAAAGGGAGGAGTGGCAGAGAGGGAAGAGCAAGCCTCTTTCACTCCCTTATATTGCATGCATACTACCCGCCCCTAGGCCTGGGGTGGGTGTAGCATTCACACCCATAAATCCCAGCATTGGATCATGGATCAGTCATAAACTCTAAAAGCCTGCCCCATGACTGCATGAGGCTTTGGGGGAACATTCAGACACAAACCATAACAGGAGAGTTTAATAACGTAACTGTGGTTTTATTTTCTGCCTACTAAGGCATGTTGGAAAAGCATAAACGAGTATGAATTTAATAAATTGGATTGAAAAATTTAAAATTAACAAAAAAAGTCATATTTCAAATTCATGATAATCTGAAGGATTATTGGCAGTATTGTTCACTTTTTAGTTTGTTAGGAACTTACCCTTTTCTCTACATACTTGTTTGTGTTGACATTCTCACTAATTTTAAGGCGTGCACAAGTGAAAGAGATATGGAGGAGTGCGATAAGGAATGAGAATTAAACTCATTATTAAGAATGACACAGAACACTTTCATCCTAAACATTTGTTTCATTAACAACATAAGTGGTCCATGTTGACATTCCTGTCTCAAGCAGTTTCTAGAAAAGGAACACAAAAGACTTATATTTTCTATAAATAAAGTAGATCGTTTCCAGTCCCTGAATGCACTGCCTAAGAAAAACTAAAAAATAGTGTGCTATCATTCACTTTCCTGAAAATTTTTGAGAATGATTTTCTTTTCTAAATTTTAATAAAATTTATAACATCAAATGATATACAATGGCTTCAACAGTTTTAAAAGCTTTTATTTTTAATTTGTGGAATCAGGAAACTAGTTGCTTTAGTTACTACTGAAAGGAATTCATTTTACAATTTAGAGAAAGAAGAGCAAGCCAATTGCTAATTCTCAACCTTCAATTTTCAAGATAGATTTAAAAGTTGAAAAGAGAAATGTGGTTTACCAATGGGCTGTTCTATAGTCCAGCTTCTTAGCAAGTAATGACAATGCATTCCGGACTTTGTACTTCATTTTGTCACAGTAAGAGCCACTTGGCTTTCTCTCCCAAATTGGTAGATTAAGAATGTTTCTAATTTCATTTATATAAGAAAATAATTTTCTCTAAAAGTGTTTCCCTATGACCATTATAAAACAAGCAGGAAGAATTGCTCATGCGGAAATTGGATGTCCGTGTCTAGGAGTGATAATCAGCTCTTCAGCCTGGGATAAAAGCTTCTAACTACCTAACTTTCAGAAATTCTGTGATTCTGAAATTTTCGCAGTTCTGGTTTCTTTTATGACCACAGGCTATCTAATTAAACTTTTCTATGCCTAACTCTGCTCATATCATTTACCACTTTGAAAGGCATCAGAGACGCTGTGAAGAGGAATTACAATCTGTCTAACACATCTAAAGCTCTTCAAAGTTTTTTGGAGAAGAAATGTATTGTATATAAATTTGATGTATGGACAGTTTTTTGAATAGGATATTGAAACCTTATTTCAACACATTAAATTGATATGGGTAAGATGTTAAATTTAGTGTAGTTTTTTCTCCTTTCTATTGCACTTTTTATGGCTTTTTTGAACTCTGGACAGAAGGAAATTTGACTTCACTTTGGCAAATGGGGCTATGAACATTTTCTCATTTTATAATGGAATTTTTAAAAAATATAACAATAAAAAGAATAGTATAATAAACCCACATGTGTTATAACCAAACTTTATAGATTATTAACATTTTATTAACATGTTTTAAGGAGCCATACACTTATACTAATGAACACAAATCTGGCTCATTGTTGAAGCAAAATTTTATGAATAATAGGATGGAGATGAGTTCTTGCTATTAAATGTACTGAGAAAAATATACCAGTGAAAATACTGTGGATGGAAGAGAACACTTTCAATTTTTCAGTTCTTAATGCTCGCTAGAAGTTTTGAATATTTAAGGATAGATACAAAAAGGCATTAAATGAGATTTCAAAATTATAATTTTTTTCATAGTTCTCATCTCAAACTAAATGTTAATTTTACTCTGACATTTTCCTGTATCTCAAAGCTAAGGAAGCTAAATGTATTGGAAAATGTGCAAAAAAATGTAAATTTTTACCATTCTTGTTATCAAGGGTACATGGAAAATGGGAAAGAGGACAACAGTTGCATATAGAATTTTTGTTTTATTCTCATTGTCTGAGAGATGCTTATGTGTGAATTTTTGAAGAGCTTGTTTAGTTACCTAGCACTGCAAAACAGGCCACTTCACTTGTACTGACCTTGAGAAATAACTATTTTATTAGCGAACAGTTCTGCAATCTGAGCTGGGTTCAGCTGAGTGGTTCTTTTGTTGAGCTTGCCACATTCACCTAACGTGGTGGTTGGGGGTTTAACTCATCTTGGCACTTAGATGGCCAGATTTTCTCTGTGGTTAGTCCTGGGGCCTCTTTCCATGACTACTTCTCCAGGTGACCTCTGCACAAGTTTCCTGCGGTAGAACAGCTGCAGTTCCTTATGATGTCTCAGGTCTTGTTGTCTTGGGCTTTGAAATGGCATACTTGTGTTGTCCTCTTTTGGTTATAAGGGCAGTTATAGACCAGCCTAGGTTGAAAAGGAAGTAACTGCACAAGAGCACGCCTGACTGCAGGCATGGCTTGTTGGAGGGCCACCAAGGGAAAAACTTACCACAGCCTGCATGATGTGATGTCATTGCATTTAGAATGTTTCTGAAAACAGAGTGGATGTGGCAGTTACAATATTCAAGTTTTCTTATGATAGTGATGAAATTGAGTTTCATTAAACTTGTATTTACAGAGACAAACACGGGACTTACTATTAGGCTTTAGGCTTGCAATGTCAAAAGCTTATATTGCCTAGGTATCATCTTTTCTACTGATCTGGATACTCATCTTGAAATACTAAATATTAAAATAGTAAGTGAAAATATCATATTTTGGTCTTCCAGCCAAAAACCTAGGATTTATTTTTAGAGAGACCAATGACTCAAGGGTGTGTGTGTGTTTGTGTGTGGACAAGAAAGTTTATTGATTTTTTTAAGAGTAATTTGGGGCAGTATCCAAAATGAAGACTTGTCCTGATGAATAATTTTAAAACATTAAGTGTATTTTGTCCATTTTAGAGCAATAACCAGATTGAGAAGGTCACAGGTTTGGAAGATCTGAGAGCTCTGCAGAAGTTGGATCTGGCTCACAATCAAATAAGTAGCCTCCAGGGCTTAGAGGATCACAACGTCCTGGAAGTAATCAACCTAGAGGATAATAAGGTAATGTACTTTACAGCTCTTGGTCTCAGGGTGTACGTAAGTGGGCATATCAGAGAGTCAGCACAGACACCCCACTGTTGGTTTTGCAAGGGTTAGTAACTGAAATGCCAGCTTAGAAATGTTATCCTAGCAAACTTCCTGGAGCAGTAGTTGCAGAACTATTTTTAAAAAATAAATAATTGCAGTTCATTATTTTTGAAAATTTGATGATTCCTAATTGCATTGTCTTAAAGGTTTAAACTTCAGCCATTTGTGCATAATTTTTGAAGTAAATGTGTTTGTGCAAAACTTTGTGAAGAAAGAGGGCATTAGGAGTATCTGAATTATCTGATAAAGGAGAGTGGAAATATGAAAATATCCTCAGGCTGGTGGTTTTCCTTACCTACATTCAAAGAGAAGCAGGGTAGGACTTTTTTCAGGGGAGGAGCTTGAGGAGGTCTCAGCCAAAGAATATAAAATTTCACTTACATCAGTATTAACAACGTATGTTTGAAAAATGCGGAGTAGATTTTTAGTGTTTCCACTACTGTGTTATAACTGTGTAATATATGTTAATTAGCTAGATTTAGCCACTCCACAGTTTATATGTATTTCAGTACATCATTTGTAGATGATAGATACAATTTTATCTGTAATTGAAAATTTTTAAATGCAAATACCCTGAGAAAGAGTTAGTCATTAAAAAATAAAGGGGCATAGGAAGTAAATTTTTGTATTTTTTTGGTAGTAATAGTAATGTACTTTTCCAGTGTGCATAATGGGTTAGAAATTAGATTTATTCAAATTTTGATAGCTGATTTAATGTGTACATTACTTCAAAAATTATATAAAGTGAGTTTTACTCTTAAATACATTCTGTTCTTGTAAAGCATTTGTGCTCCCAATCATGATATATTAAGTTGGTACTACAGTTGACTTCATATACAATAAGGTCTACAAATTGATTTTATTTGTACTGAGTACTTCATCACATGTTGGGGGAAAGGTTTCATAAGGAAGTTCTTTTTGAAAGTGACAAGTTGGGCAGACTGTGAGAGGTGCTCTCTGGCATAGGATGTGGCACTGGAAACCTTGCCCGTCCTGTGGTGCTCCTCCTCAGTCTTGTCTGAGGATCCTTTCTCCAGACACCTTGCATCATCTGTTAGGATGCTCAAAGTCAAGAGAAGTTAATCATGAAGGTCTGGGAATAAGTAAACTTCTAATTATAATCGAAACTATTCATGCTCATCTCACTTGATTTATATTTTATATGATTTTGGTGCCTTTACAGCATTTCTAGTGAGTGGCCTTTTTTTTTGCAAAGCCATGTCTTGGGAAGTTAGCACAATCTCTCTTTCATATGGTTTTAGTGTCCACTTTGTGCAAATACCATTGATGACTGTTTTAAAAGAATTTTTCTGCTTAGTGGATTTCACATATATGCAGGGAGAGTTGAAAAGGTAGAATACACTCATTAAATCTCAAATCAGTGCAGCTCAGGATTTAGGAAAGGGAATAACAGTAATGATACTTACAACAATTACGGTCATAAAACAATTCGGAGATATCTGCTGAGTACTTATGCACTAAGCACTATCCTAAGCACTTTATACATCTCATTTAATCCTTATTATGGCCCTATTAGAAACTGGGACATAGAGAAGCTAAGTAACTTGCCTAAAGCTATTTGTCGAGCAAATAGCAGAGCCAGGATTCCAATATAGAGTGATTTGCCCCTACAGTCAGTGTGTTCTACCTCTGCAGGTTAATACAGTAAATGAAGGGCCAGTGCCCTCCCTTCAGAAAGGAGTGTGGTATAAGGCTTGTTAAAAGTGCTTTTTTGGCTGGTCATGGTGGTGCTGACCAGGAGACTGAGGCAGGAGGATCGCTGTGAGTTGGAAGCTAGCCTAGGGTACATAGTGAGTTTAAATCCAGCCTGAACTGCATAGTGAGACCCTGTCTCAAAAAAAAAAAAGTGCTTTCTCATAGAAATATAATATGAGCCATATATGTGAGCCACAGATGTCTTTAAAATGCTTTAGTAGCCACAATAAAAAGAAAAATTTAACTTCAGTAATATATTTTACTGAACTCAGTATACCCAAAATATCATTTTAGCATATAATTTACATAGGAAATTATTGATGAGATATTTCACCTTCTGTAGTCTTACAGTGAGTTTTTGACACCAGGTGTGTATTTTACACTTAGAGTACATCTCACTTGATCCTAGCCATATGTCAAGTGTCCTAAGGCACTACCTTATTGGGGGGTGCCAGTCTAGAAATTCCTCACAAACGGTGTATTATTCTGTGCCAACTCTAGACACTTTTCATCTTTAAATGAAGAAAGGAGTTTATATTGTTCAAATGTTAGAGACTGTATTTTAAAAAGTGGCCACGTGCCCCAAAGGACCTCCTTTGGCAACAGTTGGGTCCAGGATAATAACTAATTCCCTGGGTTCACACTAGGCACATTGGGGAGCAACCAATAGTACTTGGAAATGTTCTTTGAACCATCTGAATTGTTCCTCAGAGATTTTCCAGGATGACTGAGAATTCTATGCATTAGAAATGGAAAATTTATCATGTAAAAGCAATGTAGCATAGCTTTTGCTTCTTGTATGATTAATTTGGTGTTAGGGATAGTATTATCTTGGTAGCACTTTCAATGTTGCTTACTTGTTTTAACAGTTGAAGCCTGTTCCGGTAATGTGGTCACTTGTGTATCTGTCCTGTGCAAGAATTTATTGTCAGCTGGCCCTATTAGAAACTGGGACACAGAGAAGCTAAGTAAAGACCTCCACTTGGAAGCCTTTGTTACTCTCCACCTTTCGGTCCCTGTTAGATTTTAAGTCATGGCTAGCATTTAAGACATATCAAGTGGTTAACTCTATTATAATCTCTGGTCTTTTTTCTGGCCACAGGATATTGGTCTCAGAGCAACTTAGAGAATTCTGGGTCACTTGTTTGAGTCTTATTGTTATCATCTCACAGTATTTGTTCTCCTTAGTTTTTTTTTTCTAAGTTTCTCTATGGATTAACAAGGTAATATTCATAAAGCAAGAGAAGCAAGGAAATAACTTCGGCCCTAAGTAACCAATGCATTCCTTCATCCACCTAGTCCTTGTAGAGGGCCTTGGCCATTCTCCCTGAAGACCATGGTTCTTCTCTTTATTTTAGTAATGACTCATATAGGTAGGAACTGTTTGTAGAGTTAAATTGTTTCTTGTTGTTCAGAGATATGTGACATTTAATGTCAGGCAAGCAATGCATGAACATTACCCTGTCTTCACTGGAACTGGTTCAGGTACATGAACAAAAGGAATTTGGGGGGTGGGGACTGAACACAGTCTGACTCCTAAGCCTACTTGATAGCTCTCTTAATTTATATTTGTTAGGCCTAAAAAGATAGGGGTTGAAGTAGATGGGGATCCTGAGGTCTCCAAAGGTTGACAACATGGATATAGAGGTAGCCAGTGCTGGGCATAGGAAATGCTGGAATGATCAAATCTCCTGTTAAAATTAGTCTTCATTCTATCTGGCCCAAGTGTCCGCTCATGGGGTTCATGACCATTTGGTCTGATGGTATCTGGTACTCTATCATAGGATATAGACAGGAGGGAAGCTCCTTTGGAGGCCTATAGCTTCTTTACATGCAAGAAGATGGGCAATACCGGTCAGCCTGGGGTGGTGTTCAGTTACACAGATAGCAGAAGCTTTTCCACCAACTTCTCTCTCCAGGTAGCCTTAGTTCTCTGCTGGACGCACATTTGGAGCCCAGGTCCTAGTGTTGCCTTTTCACTTTTCCAAGTACTTTTGGAGCTTCCAGACCAAGGCTTTCATGGTTTTAGTCTTGGCCTGCAGCTTCCAATTTAATGCCTGTTTCGTGGTGATGAACTTGGCTTACTTGGTGACCTGGATCCATGGACTCGGAGTCACCCTGCTGAAGCAAGTCAAAAACCTGCCTGACTGGGTTAGCTGAGCAGTGCCACACAAGAAGGCCTGTCACAGCCAGTCCACTTGACTGGGGAGGGAGGGCGGCTCTTTCAGGGGAGGTACTACAGCTAAGTGCTCCTTTCAGAAGGGAGTTAGAGTGGTAAGTTGCCAACATTTTCTTCTGATCCTTATACAGACCAAGCTTATTTCCACCCCAGGGGCTTCATAGGTATGGCACCTATACTGGAATGTTTCCACCAGATTTATCTGGCATCTCTGCTAGAATCTTTTCTCAGTATTTTCAAAACAGTTCACTACTTCATTTCATTTAGGCTTCTGTCAAACTTCTGAAGGTGGCTCCTGACTACCTCTGGCCTCTCCACCAACCCCTCTCTGTTTTTGTTATCCCTTTAACTGTTTTATTTACCATCAGTACTTATTACTGCCTGAAATTATAGCATATAATGTACTCAATATCTTCAAGAGTTTCTGTCTTTCTCACTATGCTGTTAGCTTCATGAGCTCAGGGACTTTTTCTTGTTCATTTTGTGCAGTACCTGGTTCATCATTGGCACATAAGAGTGTTTGTTGACTGAACGAATAACTCTCAGGAGCCCTCAGGTGTACTCAGATTCACCTCAAGTGCTTGGTTGGTGCTTAAGGTGCACGTGGTAAGATTCTGGAATGTGATAAAAGGAGGTGCAAATGTTTCACTGTTAGGTGTAGAGAGTATACAAAAATTAAAGATCAGAGGAATTGTTTTAGCCGAGACAAGGCCTTCAGTAAGGCAGAGAAAAGTAGTAAGGAAGGAGCAAGAAGGTTCCAGAGAGATTTCTGAGGATATCAATTTTGCCCTCAACTGTAGGCTAGGGATATAGCTCAGCGTCATAAGCTCCTACCTGGCAAATGCAAGGTCCTGAGTTTGATTCTTGGTACCAAAAAAAAAAAAAAGATTATAAAGATTATTAAAAAAACTGTAGAGCAGACATCTCTGTCCAGCCCTGCTGCACTATGCCAGGCTTCTGGGATGTGGCATGGAGTGACTTTTCCTGGAAGCCAATCCTAGTGAAGTAGAGTGGGTTA